ACTCTTCATTTCTTTCTCTTCCTTACTCCCCCAACCCTGGTGATACAAATTTATTTTCTTTCTTTGTAAATTTACCTATTTTGGACAATTCATGTAAATGAAATTATATATTATGTGGTATTTTGTGTCTTGATTTCCTTCATTTAGCATAATGTTTTTGAGGTCTGTCCATGTTTTAGCATATCTCAATCAACATTTCATTTTTTATACCTTTATTTTATTTATTTATTTTTATGTGGTGCTGAGAATAGAACCCTGTGCCTCACAAAGGCTAAGCAAGTGCTCTTCCACTGAGCTACAACCCCAACCTAGCATTTTATTTTTATTAGTGCATAGTACTCAATTTTATGGAGGTACATATGTATTTATGTGTTTGTATATATGTATACATGTATACACATACATACATTTATATCCATTTTTTTATCTTCATTTGATAGACATTTAGTGTATTTCCACTTTCTGACTGTAATTAATAATGTCATGAACAAGCATATATGACCTTTTGCATGGACATTTTCATTTCTCTTAGGTAGTTAGAAGTGGATTGCTCTGCTGTATGGTTAATAATAGCCCATTGAGTAACTGACTAGTTGCTTTCCAAAGTGACTGCACAATATTGCATTGTCATCAGTGATGTGAGGGTTCTCCTTTTTCTACATCCTCATCAACACTTGTTATTGTCTTTTTATTTTGACCATTTTAGTATATAAAGTGGTATCTCATTGTAACTTTGATTTGCATTTCTCTAATGGCTAATGATATTGAACATATTATCTTGTACTTGTTGGTCACCTGTGCAGCGTTGGAGAAATGTCTGCTCGAGTCCTTGGTGCACTTTTCCCCCATGTTTTAAGAGATGGGGTCTTACTGTGTTGTCGAGGCTGACTCTAAACTCATGGGCTGAAGTTACTCTCCTGTCCCAACCTCTTAAGTAGCTGGGACTATACTTGCATGCCACTGTGCTCACCTGGCTTTTTTTTTTTTTTTTAAATTGGACTGTTCTTTCTTTTTATTATTAATGTATAGGAGTTCTTTTTTTTTCTGAATGTAAGTTTCTTACCAGATATTTTCTCTCAGCCATGGATTGTGGTTTCACTTTCTTGATAGTGTCTTTTGCACAAAAGTTTAAAAATCTCGATGAAATCAGATTCCCAGTATTCTCTTTTATCACTTGTGCTTTCTGTGTTATAGTATCTAAGAATCATGAAGACTTACTTTTGTGCTTTCTTCTAAAAGTTTTGTTTTAGTTCTGGTGTCTGATCTGTTGTCTGATCCATTCTTTTTACCAACTTAATTGTCTTGGCCCCTTTCTGAACTCTCATTTATATTATGTTGATTTTTATGTAAGTATCCTTATGTGAATTCTATGTTGTCTTAATTAATGTAACTTTGAATTAAAAAGTATGATTCTAGCTGGGTAGGCTACTCAGGAGAATGAAGCAGGAGGATCACAAGTTTGAGGCCAACCTGGGCAACTTAGTGAGAGCCTATCTCAAAATAAAAACGGGTGGTGATGTAGCTCAGTGGTAAAGTACTTGCCTAGTTTGTGCTAGGCCCTGGTTTAATTCCCAGTACTTCCCTGCTCACCCCCCTCAAAAAAATATTTTCTTTTCCAAGCCATTTTAATCATTTGGACCCCAGGCATTTCCATATGAATTTTAGAGTAAGTTAAAGTTATGTCTAACTTATTCTTACAAACTCTTTTGTTCTCTCTTCTATGAAGTCTTCATTATGCTTTG